TTTTTTTTTAAAGAAACATGAACTGAAATGTAAGGCATCCCCAAAGTATTTTTTTTGCATATGTAAGGAATGCAGTTTTTGTAAACAGAAGCTTGAGGAAAGCAATACTGAAGCCAAAGAATCTTCCCTAGGATCTTTCTGATGAAACCAAGAACAACCCTCCTAGTGTAAAGTGTTTTGGAACTTAGTCTTGTGAAAGAGAAAATGCAATCCTTTGTCTTCCCAGACACTTTTAATCATATATTAGATTGGTGCCCCTTGAAGATCTCCACATTAAAATAATGATGTAAAAGTTGATTTGCAAGGGCACGAGCTTGTCTTAATTCTATTTCTCTGGTACGTCACTTTCTATTGATTTTGTGGCAAGGCTGTTCTGGCCTAGGCCGGCAATGGGCTCTTGTACGGTATTCCGACAGGTAACATTTCCCAGCGCCTGAGACTGATGGGCAGCCGTGGGTTTAGCTGCAAGAAGCATTTTGGAAGAAGAATTAGACTGGTGTCTGCGACGACCCACATCCTCACCTGTTGCAGCAGAGGGTCTCTTTCTGCCACATTCTTCACTAATAGGAGGCTGAAAACAAACATTGGTAGCTGGTTAAGATTTTTCTGTAAGACCAGGTATTTACCTTTCTATCTACTTCAAGCATCAAAAAAGGATGTTCCTTAGTTAGGCCCTTAATTTGGCATGCAGCAAATAAAGTCTCTGTGAGGACAATGGCTGTCGCAGTTCAGTAAAAAACTGCCAGCTAAACATTAACTCTCTGCCAAATTCCTAAACATAGCAGTGTAGGTGGCATCTGTCTCACTCGGTGACAAATAAAGCTGTGTAGTGAGTAGAAAAATCCTTCCAAATCTACTTTTATTAGCACTTCATATTGTTAAAACAGTAAAGACTTTCCTCATGTATTTTTTTGATATTTATTGTATTTCATTAGACACTGAAAATGGATCAACTTTTTTTTTTTTTTTTTATGTTCTCACTGCCATATCTCAGCACCATACTTTAGTTTGCAAAAGAATATCTAGATCAAAACAACGCATTTTTCATTTGAATTTTTAATCATACTAACTTTCTGGTCATTGACTGGATTTGTAAAGCCTTGTTTTTGTGAAATGAAGTCAGGTTCTGAAACTGGGTAGCTGGGTAGACGAGGGCAGAGCAGTGGATGTTGTCTACCTTGACTTCAGCAAGGCTTTTGACACTGTTTCCCATAATATCCTCATAGGCAAGCTCAGAAAGTGCGGGCTAAAAGAGTGGACAGTGAGGTGGAATGAGAACTGGCTGAATGGCCGAGCTCAGAGGGTTGTGATCAGTGGTGCAAAGACTAGTTGGAGGCCTGTAACGAACAGTGTCTCCGAGGGGTCAATACTGGGTCCAGTCTTGTTCAATGTATTCATCGATGACCTGGAGGAAGGGACAGAGTGCACTCTCAGCAAGTTTGCTGGTGATACAGAACTGGGGGGAGTGGCTGACACACCAGAGGGACCTGGACAGGCTGCAGAGATGGTCAGAGAGGAACCTCACGAAGTTCAAAAAAGGCAAGCGCAGGAATAAACCCAGGCACCAGTACAGGCTGGCAGCTGACCTGCTGGAGAGCAGCTCTGCAGAGAAGGACCTGGGAGTCCTGGTGGACAACCAGTGGGACATGAGCCAGCAACGTGCCCTTATGGCCAAGAAGGCCAAGAGCATGCTGGGCTGCAATAGGAAGAGTGTTGCCAGCAGGTCGAAGGAGGTGATCCTCTCCCTCTACTCAGTCCCAGTGCGGCCACACCTGGAGTGCTAGGTCCAGTTCTGGGCTCTCCAATGTAAGAGAAACATGGAGCTCCTGGAGCGAGTCCAGTGAAGGGCTACTATGATGATTAAGGGTCTGGAGCATCCCTCCTATGAAGGAAGGCTGAGGGAGCTGGGCCTGTTCAGCCTGGAGAAGACTGAGGGGGGGATCTGATCAGTGTATATAAATATCTGAAGGGAGAATGTCAAGAGAATGGGGCCAGACTCTTCAGTGGTGCCCAGCGACAGGACAAGAGACAACAGGCACAAACTGAAACACAGGAAGCTCTGTCTGAACACGAGGAAAAGCTTCTTTCCTGCGAGGGTGACAGAGCACTGGAACTGGTTGCCCAGAGAGGCTGTGGAGTCAGTCTCCTTCCTTGGAGGCATTCAAAAGCCATATGGACACAGTCCTTAGCAACATGCTGTGGGTGACCCTGCTTGAGCAGGGGGGTTGGACTAGATGATCTGCAGAGGTCCCTTCCAACCTCAACCGTTCTGTGATTCTGTGAAACAGTTTACCTTGCTGCAATAATATTCACACATAACTAGTTCATTTAAAATGGGCCTTGAAACTTACATCAACTCTGAAGTCCTCCAGTTTCTTGAATCTATTAAGGTATTCTTGCAGTTTGGGATCAATGGCTGGAGTCTTGTATTGAGAGTATTTTAGATAAGCCCAAAATTTTTCCAGTCCATATAGCTGACCTAATAGCAAAAAAAAGGTGATTTTACAAAATTACAAAGTTGGGTTTAATTAAATACTTAATTGTTCACTGGTAACTACCTATTTAAGAGAAATAGAGAAATAAAAAAAGCTGATTTTAGGTGCTGTTACTTAAGTCAGTGCCAAGGACTTGGGATTACCTCTCAACTAAAGTTACTATGGTGTGAGCAATGAATGGCCTGTGATAGTTACCAGCTTCATAGTCCCTCTTTGTTTCTTCTTGGAAATCCTTGAAGATTTCTTGCCTGAATTTCTTCTCTAGGCCATAGCTGTAAAATCTAAACAAGCATTCCAATCCATACCTGTAAGAACAAATAAGTATGGAAATCTTATGCACACCCTTGTAATTCCTCAAGAGGATGCAAATGTTCAGTCTTACTCCTTGCATTTATTAAGTGGCATAGTCTCATTCTTCCCCACTCACCAAAGCACTTCCTTTTCCCATCAACTTTTATCAACCTGTTTTTCTGAAACATGGTCATAACCAGAACTGACATATGAAAACCAGATTTCTCACAACAGTTTCAGCTCATGCACTACACACATACACAAAATGGAAGACAAATGCTTTCATGTTTCTGATATGTTTGTATACACAAATAGTTTCAACATAAAAACAGCCATAATGGGTCAGACCAAAGGTCAGTCTATAATCAGCAACCAAAAACAGATGCATAGGGAAGAGATGTAAGGGCAGAGCTTGGTAGCCTTTCAGCCTCCCCACACTCTCAGCCCAGGCTTCTGGCTAGGCCTTAGTAACACACCGACTTTGGCTGCCCTTGCTGTTGCCAGAGCCCCCTTGGCACTCTGGCACACAATACCCAACAGTAAGGAGCTTCGCAGCTCCAGTGCTTCAGCAAAAATGACCTCCCATTGTTTATTTTGAATCCAGCTTGTCCTAGCTTCATTTCATGCCTGTCAGCTCTTGTAGCAGAAGGTAAACAGTTGATCCCAATATACCCTGCTCTCCAGGCTGCTGTCTTACACACCTCAGTAATTCGCTCCTGAAGTCACCTCTCCTCTAAGCTGAGGAGCCCTAGCTAACCGTATTATACCTTATATGAAAGCTGGTCTCTATCCTTCATCAGCTTGGTTGCCATACTCAGAACTTTTTCGAACTCTACCCACCACTCTGAAGTGAGGAAAGGCAATGAAAACTATTGCTAGAAGTTCATCACTCTCCTTTATTACTGGTTCTCTTCCACTTCTGTACTCAATGCTTTGCAGAATAATCTGAATTCTTAGCAGGTTAGTGCATGTACGTAGTATGACTTGGGCAGCCATGCGAAGATTAAAAGAAAAAAAAAAAAAAACACAACACAACCACCCCCCACACACAAAACACACATACACACAGAACTGCTTTTCTACATAAGCTGGCCCAGGCAGAATGATGTTTTGCTATGACTCTCAGTACCTGAGGTACCTGGTAGATTTTTGCATAGCGTTGAATTGTATCACACACAAGTGTGCCTTTAATTCTATTTGATGGCTGATTTCATTCAGTCAAAGAATGACTGACAGTATTATGAACATATGAAATAATACAGTGAAGTTGCGAACCTCTAGCGTCATTGTTTGACCTAGGTAATCAATACAACTTTCAGGAACGTATATTCTAGAGAATTCCCATGTATTAAATTCAGGTTCCTATAAAAAAAAAAAAAAGCTGAAGTCCTGTGAGGTCTAAAAATCATTCCCAGGCTCTCATAATGAAATCTGCTAGGTCTACAACTACATTTACCTTCTCTTCCAGACAGTGAGAAGTGGACTGGATGGAGAAGAACGTGTGTTATTTTTACTACATTGGGTAACATATAGGCAGCATTTGTCAAAGACTTAAGGGGTTTTTTTGCTTTTGTTTTTTTTAATTTTTTGCTCTGAAGCCCATCACTAAGCAATCCCTTGCAAATTTGCTAAACTTCCATTCCATACCACCCACTTATCAGATGGTATAGTTCTTTCTCATTTTTAATGCCAGCCCAATGTGGCACTTATTTGAAACACTGTTCTGAAAGATGAAATAGACAAAAATAGCATTTTTTCCAGAAGAATCTAGATCAAATTCCTTTCAGTATACCATACCCTATACTTTTGGCAAAGACAGGGCCATAAAAATGAACATAGCTAGGACCTCCTTCTGTTCTACAGTTCATCTGCTGTCACATTAGTCCCCTTAAGAGCCTTCTGAAGTTTCTCCTGATAAACATATCCTTGGATGATTACAGAGCATAAACAAAGCTCTGAATAGAGATATCAAATTTTATTTAAGCCACCTCTGCATCCTGGGGACCATTACTATGCATTCTCAGGAAACATATCCAAACTTCAAGCCTCAGCTGGCATTCAAAACGTTGACCTACCTTGTCTCTTTGGTCAAGAGAAATAGAGGTGAAAGAAAAGAGGACAGCGGATAGAAAGAGGGAAGAAAAATGAAAGAACTAAATGGGAAGTAATGATTTTCCTTTTGGTGATTTTTTCAGTATTTTTGGAAGGCAAGCAGCTTTTTGAACAAATCTAATAAAGTTAAAAATGTCTTCACTTATGGAAGCAAAATCTTATGGGTACAGTAGCGTTGACTTGTCATAGTCATCAAGTCAAAGTCATCATACAACTCTGATTTCATAGAATTTAGGACGTTATAAGTAAGGAAATATTACAAGTTCAGCTATTTATCTGCAAAACATACATATATATAAACCAGGTTTTTTGGTATTAAAATAACTTGTGGAAACTACTGCCTTAAAGATGCTAGAGTCAAAGCTAATACTAAAAAACATTCACTTCAGATATACTCAGATATAAACTTCACAGTCATTAGTAAGAACTGAAATGGTTCTTAACTTTCAGTAAAAAATTAATACCTGTAGTGTTCTTTTGCATCATCCAGAGCAAGTTGTCTGAATTCTTCATACATCTTCTTGTTAAAGTGATCTCTGAGAAAAAAGGACCAGAAACGAAAAAGGGTGTTCATTTCTTGGGACTGGCCAATTCCCAACCGTTTCCTCTCTGGAGGGGGAAAAAAAAATACATGAAGTTATTTTTAATTTTATAAGTAGAATTTTTTCAAGTGCTTTTTTTATTAGTAGTACACATACAAGATCTTCAAGTAGTGCAAGCTTAAACTTTCCAAAAATATTTTAATAATAATGTCAGGTTTGAAATTAGGTTTGATACTTTATTAAGTAGCTCCTCTTAAGTACACTATTTGTCTAACCACAAATATTAATGCAGAAAAAGCTGTTGCAAAGTGCCAAAGGTTTTGAATGCTTTCCATATAGCTTCAAATTCTGGCAGTAGAGTTCATATAATACAGATATAAAATAAGTTTTGTTAACCTTTCTTAGGAAAAACTAAGAATGAGGACCAATACAGAGAAAACTAGTATCAGGTAACAGGTGGTAACCTCCAGCTACAATTTTAGGGAATGCATTTCATGTCTTACCCACTAGACATCTTCGACGATATTTGTGGTACACCTGTTGCGTAAAGCCATTTTCCTTTAACAGTTCATGGGAAGGATGCTGAAACTTTGGAAGAGAATTTGGGGTACACTCATAACCTCCTGCTAACGGAGCTACTTCCGAAGGCGAAGCATTGGAACTGCTGAAGATAAAACAAATATTTCTGTCCTATAAACAGTGTTTCTTCAGAATCAACGTTTTCAACCATTCTGCTCTACACAAGAGCTGTCAGAAGAGTATAATCCTCTGATAATCTCTACAGTGGGTGCTTGAGTTCCTAGTCATCCTTTTTAGGATGCACCTCAAGAAAATCAATTTCTGTGCCAACGTTTCAAAAAAACAGGCAGTTTCGGATGATGGTAATTAAACATTACCATAATGCATGATTTTAAATGACTACTTAAGAGGCAAATGAAATTGCTGAAGAGAACATCGGTACCTCAAGTAATATTAATGCTATTACACCACAGATCAACAAAGAATGCAGCAAGTATAGTTGAGTTAGCTTACTTCCAAATGCTTACTTCCTTATATTCTTTTCGTTCTCTTGATATCTTAAGTTCTTTCTTTGGCCCGTTCGTATTTTTTCCATTGCCATTTCTTGCTTCCGTTGTATTTATAAAATTCTCATTTATCATAGCCAATTTCTCCAATAGCAGTAAGAACTAATGACCTTGCAAAAAATTTTTCTATGACCAAAAAAAAAAAAAAAATTACCTCAGAGAGGAAGTTGTTGGCCTGTGGTCTCTGGAATCCATCACCCAACCAACATGGCATTCTAATGGCGGGTTTGTACTGTGTCGTGTTTTTCTTTTTCTCGGAGTCTAAGAAAATAAATGAAGTATTTCTCTAACTTGACTTCATGCATTTCTCCCTCTCAAAACAAAGGTCTAAAAATTTCATATTGTATATAACACCTTATGAAGCCACAAAGCTCCAGCTTCATAACCTAAAGATTAATCTTACCTAACAAATTCAAAAGCTTTAGACGTTATACTTTTTCATCACGGACTTTTAAGAAATGTTACAGACAAAACTCAGATAACATTTTGTGGAAATAAAAAGAATGAATATGGGAAATTGTGTGAAGATAAAACCAATAAAAAAAACATTTGTGTATTTCATTTTTGCCTTTTCATTCTTGTCACATTATCTGAACAGAAAGAAGAGTTTTACAGGTTTACATTTTATGTGTTTTAAAAAAAGTTGAAATCTTTTTGTTTACCTTTACGTCAATGGCTCTTGCCTCTTTAACAACGGGATAGAACCTCGGTGTTTTGCTGGGATCCTGTAACCTGGGGGTGCGAGGCGTCCGTGGGGTGAATGTGGGGTGAACATGGGGAGAGTCTGGAACTGCTGTTGGCAGCGATCGAGCCAGCGGTGCTGTTGGAGGTACTTCAACCAATTTACAAGCCTGCTCATCTGTTAAATCTGGAAGCAGGAAAAAGGGCGCGGAAGAAGGTGCAAACTATGAAAATGCACCGCCCCCCCCCCCCAAAAAAAAAAAAACCCACCAAAACAAAACCACACATCCCCTACAACCACGCCTCACTCGCTTTCAGTTTGCATTTAAAAGACACGTTCAATTTACTAACATGGTTTTGCTAAGTAAATGAAGGATATCCAAGGCTTTTAATATCAGAGATGGCTAGGAAAGGTTAGGCTGCAGTATTACAGAAACAGCAGTGAATCAGTGACAACAGAAGTAGGAGGCAAATAGCATAAACATTGAGAAAAAATGTTCTAAAAAAAAAAAAAAGGGGGGGGGGGGGGGAAAAGGTTGGAACCCCCCATACATATACAGCTTCTATACATACTTATTTTAAAAAAGCAGCATAGGTAGAATTGAAATACATCATCACTGATGCATGCTGGCCACTGTCTTTCATACTGTTTCTCCTGAGCTTAACTCGGCTGAAGCTACGTGCTGTCTTTCAATGCAGTAAGAGCCAACCCTGTCTTACCCATTCCGCGTGCCATTCAAAGTGTGCTCGAACGTTATTATTTGGGTAACTGCAATTATAAAATGGATTTTAAAACCTAGAACAAAAGGCCTATAAATCCAGCCATGGCAGCACTTTTCCCTAAGCATTAATGCATTTTTAAAAGCTTTACTAATTTTAGTCTTAAGATTTACTGGTTTATTTTTCAAGGTAATCCTGATAAATTTTAAGAATTTGCTCTTCTTTCCCATTAAGAGGCAATTACCCCTCCCATTGTATGCAACACACCAGTACAATTTTTTCCTTGCTTAGACCGAATCGCAAAAGGCGAACATTTCCCTACTGCCAACTGCTCCCACCCCTACGCAGCAACACGCCATTCCTAGAGTTTTCCGGGGGCAGCAGCACCCTCCGATCCCCTCTTCTGCCTCCCCCTCCGGCCCTGCTCCCCCACCCAACGATCACTTCCGGCCTCCGGGGCTCAGCACAGCTTCACAGACAGCTGTGCCAGCAGGCCTGAGGGGAGCAGGGGAAGAAGATTTCAAAAATTTTGGAAGAAACTTACGATTTCAGAAGCCTAAGATCCCCTAATACTTAGTCTCCTAAAGGCCTGTATCACTACCGGCGAACTACATCATTCCCAAGAGGAGAACTGAATCAACCAAAAGCACTTGGCGTAGAAGCAGTACAGACTCACCGCTCAAAATGATGAAATAAATGTTTCAGTATGCCTTTGTCAAAGCATTTAAATCCGCGTCTTACCAGCTTCTCTTTTTTTCAGTCTTATAAATTCTTGCGTATTTACGATAGCAAAGTAATTGAAAATAAACATTTGTGAGAAAGTGTAACCACACTGCTGCTTTCCGTGAGGTAGTGGGGCCTTGTGGTTTTTTTTTTTTTTTTTTTTTAAAAACTAACTTTACATAGCCTACATCCTAGTAAATGCTGATAGCAGTACAGAAGAAATACCTCAAGAGATAAGATTCGGACATTGTGATTTCTCAGTACAGTTATGATACAAGCAGAAAGTTCTTTTCATCTCGCTTCCTCCTCTCCCTGTTCCCCATACAGGAAACGTTTTCTAGAAACCAGTATATAACTACCACTTTACACACTGTAATAGCAAGCTACGCAAAAGGCAGCTGCTGTTGATATCCAGTAACAAAACAGAGGAACACTACCTACTGAGGCTCATGCATATCCTGCAAAGTACTGAAAGGAATGTGTATCAGCTTTCTTCCAAAGCAGTGGAAACTCCAATAGTGATAAACAACTGACAATTTTGAGGGGGGAAAAAAGGGAAAAAAAACGAAAAAGCCCTTCAGACTGCTGACAGAATCCAAATACTAAAAAAAGGCAAAAAAGTTAAAAAAAAAAAAAAAAAAAAAAGAGAGAGAGAGAGAGAGAGAGAAGTTTCTTTATTTCTGGGATTTTAAAGATCAAATACATATTGTTTACCTTTCTGTAACTTTGAGGGCACTGAAGGAACTTCATGGGTTAGATCAGCAATTGGTTCAGGTGCAAGATTATCAAATTCCTCCTTACTAATGAGATTTAGTTTCTTAAAGTTTTCAATCTCTTGCTGAATTAGAGAAGACAAATTGTAAACACAAAGCATAATAATCAATATCATCCTGAGAAACGGCAGCCCCTTCCTCATACGACTTACTGTTTAGAAAACTCTGTATTTCTGTACATACGATATATGATAGTGATACAGTGGTGCTGTCTACAAAACTGTCACTCTGTAGGTTCACTTCCACAAAAGACCGTATTTTTTAATAAACTAAGCACAGTAAGTGACAGGACTCCAGGGCCGATTTCTCCATAGGCCCTTTACCTGCAAAGGGCTGGAGTTTACTAACCTGCTGCCAATTTTACAGCTGCTTGGCATAAAAACCACATAAAGCTGCCAATCTCCTCTCAAAGTTTTGAAAGCCTCAAAGTTACAGGCCTGTATATAGGCTAGGAATTAAAAGCAATTCTACAATAAAACAAGATGTGCAATCTGAAGTTTCATTTACTCACAGACATTCTGACAAGCTACAAGGTGAACAAAATCTGAAAATAACACAGTGATTTTTAAGGAGTTTACCTTTTTCACTTTTTATCTTATCCCACAAATATGCCCCCTTTCCCAATATTAGGGATTTGCAAATACTATTAAACAAGCTATTCACAGAACAAGAAAATATTGAAAAAGTTGAACTAACTCCAAACCATAATATTCACTTACTGGTTTTGGTCTGAATCTGTGACAGAAGGAAAATTTGCTAGTTCTACTTTTGACTGCTTACAATATCATCAAAATAAAGAGAATTCAATAGACAAGTGAATTCAACTACTGCTGTCCACTTTCTTTCGAAAATTTGTGGCAAATACAAATACATATAAGATAACTGAAGTTAATTTTAGAATATGTTTGGACAGGCATGGTTTTAAGGTCAAAAATGAAGACAATTACCTTCATAATAACGTCATTTTCACTCTGCTCCATCCACAAATCTTGTTCATAATAGTATAAACCATCATTAATAACTTTAGCAAGTTCTGATGTAATCTTTGCACGAGATACATGGTTGCCAGTACGATCACCACCAGGATGTTTTCTCATGTATGGTGGTGTCTGTGTTACAATCAAAATCTTGTTTATGTCCTGATCATCAATTTCATAATCTGAATCGCTGTCTGACCAATCAGTAAATTTATTCTTACGACCTTGAATTTGTTCCATCTCTTCATCAAACAAAAAATCAAGCTCCTCTTGTTCTTGTTCTTCCAAAGGTGGGGGTGGCTGTTGCTGATTTGATGTTTGATCAGGTGTAAGAACATATTCCTAAATAAGAAAAGGGGATGCATTTTATATTTGAACTGGATAGCGAAATTACCCAAATGGGAGCTAGAAAGAACATTATAGGGCATTTCCAATAAATGACTGTATGAGAATTAGAAACAATACAGCCACTTTCAGATGTTTATTAAGCTTACAAAGGAGTAAATTATTGTTCTAAATAATTCCACCAAAAGCTTCTAAGGACAATTCTCAACACACGTGACAATAGATTTTTTTCAATAATGAACAGATACAGCTGTCCCTCAGCAGG